CTATTGGCTAGATCAGATATAAACAAAAAAAAAATCAATACAAAGATCACTATTGGCTAGATCAGGTATAAACAAAAAAAAAAACAAGAGTCACTATTGACTAGATCATGCATAATCTAAAAACAATCAATACAAAAATTGCTATCACTATTGGCTATATTAAAAAAACAATTACTACAAAGATCACTATTGGCTAAATCAGCTAGATCGAAACCTTAAAAAAAATCAATACTATTGACTAGATCATATACAATATAAAAAAATATATATATTATATCATATTTTAATATTAATCTTCTAAATCTACCCTGGCTAATTTGCTATCCAAAATTTTTTCAAAGTAAAAATTTACATTATTAGATTAGAATCTGTAATTTTCTATTAAATTAAGGCTTGAAAATATTTCTTACACCAAAATTTTGCAAGAAAATTTTTTTATTCGTGTGCAGAAGACCATTTTATCGAATAAATTTTGATTTATGGGCAATTTTTGACAAAGTGAATGTTTGTTTTGAATTTTCTTGCTCATATTATACAGTATTACACCAGATCTTTAGATTTAATTGGCTAGTTAGGTAATTGAAATTTTTTTTGGTAGTGATTTTATACCTGTTTTCTAAATCTTACTTAGAAAATCTCACTTATACTATTGCTATTTAAATTTTATCTTAAAGCTAATACATCCCAAATTTCTGTATTTTTTTGTGACTTATCTATTTTATACTAAACAAATTTCATTTTATTCTGATTTCATTTTAATCATCACAATTATTGCTTTAAATTATTCAAGTCTTGTTGTGTAGCTTGTATATAACAGGAATCTATTACTAATTTGATATCTTATATCGCAAATCTAAGATGAATTTGATTTAATTGATATTTATAGCATTTTGCGCAATGCTACCCAGAAAGTATTAAACAACTGTATATAGTAGCAGCAGACATTATAGTTTTGGTATTGTTATAACCAAAATGTCTACAGAAAGATCACCTTATATAAAAGTATTTATTTATTTTTATTGTTTCTCTATCTGCATACTATAATTAATTGATTAAACATCTATGGTATAAGTACTTTTTCTGAATTTTCTGGATTTTAACCAATTACAAATACTCTGAGATTCAAATTTTGTTTTAGAGAAAAAAAATAAAATAAAAAAAAGAAGCCAATATTATTTAGTTATGATTTCTTATTTCTATATTCAATAACTATTCTTCTTCAAGAATCTGCTCTCAAAGTCTTTTACATTTTTTTATATATTGAAGTCTTTCAAATATAAAAAGCTTGAAGATTATATCGTTAAGTGAATGAATGCAAGATACTGCCACAAATAATAGACCTGCGGCAAACTCATTTTGTCTAATATCAATTATAGCCTTTGGCAAGATCAGACCCTGGAACTTGTATACTGTAATAGCCTATACAAGAAAAAGAGGAATCTGTGTATGTGAACATGTTCCAGACTTACATCCTATATGCATTGTATAGGGCAATTGGAACAACTCTAATGCCTTTAGAAATAGTAATAGTAGGTCTATTATATTTTTCAAATGATATCAGAATGGCAGTAGGAAGAGAAGTGGGTCTATTATTATTAAAAATAATATCTTCAATAGTTCTCATTGCTCTATTAACAAGACCAGCAGTAGTCCAAAAATTTGTGCTAAGCATGACACATGCACCCTTTGCCAGTAATATCTCAGATTTAAGGCCTTTTGCTTCATTTGAGTCAGCTTTTGAGCCTTTCTTTCTTTACTGTGAATAGCTCTAATTTTAGCAACAGGACAATTTAGCATACGAAGCTTGTTTTTATTAAATTCAGCAATATCTTTCCATTTTGGTAAAAGACAAGTGATATTTAAGAAAGCTTTCTGTTTTGATAGAGGTAAATTCTCCTGTGGTCGTGTTATTAGCTCATCCTAGTCTGATCGAGTCAATTTACCATTTCGCAAGCATAATAGAATATCTCTAAACTGATATTGTGCCACTGATTCTCCAGCTTGACATTGCACAACTTCAAGTTTGTAAATTTCTCCAAATTGGCTATAAATTAATCGCTTATCTTCAGATATTGGATTCGATAGACGAGAATTTTTAGCATATATTGGAAGATCACATACTGGAGGTAGCTAACCAAAGTCGTCTACAAAAATAATAGAATGATCACCGAAAGAGATGTTACACATTCTGGAAAGGCTTGACAAAGTCGTAAGTCGATTAAAGCTAGAATACGGTACCTGACTATACTTATTTAGTCTATAATAACATATTTCACATTTTTAAGTTTACTTTGGAGCTGTTTTAGCCGTTCACCTGTTAATTCAACATCTTTTGTAGCAATTAGAATAGAAAAAACTGAGTAGATAGTAGCACTATTGATGTTGAAAGCTACTACACCAGTTGGTGCAAGTACTAATAATAGAGG